TGAACTCTCGTCCTCTGGTCTCAACCTCCAGACCCATTATCCAGTATATTCCCTTGTAGGTATCCGCCTAACCATTATTTGAATACGTACAGCAGACGGCGATCTCTAACTTATCCACCCATTGCCGTAATATCATGTATAACTGGCTACAGGCTTTTCTCAGCAATTGGTGAGATAAAGAATGCCCTATTTGGTATCGAAAGCTAGATCTGCTCATGAAACAGCACAAGCCCCCTGAACTAGCCCTATCAAGGCATCTACTCCGCGAACTATTTGCAGCCCGTATGGGACACGGCAATTTCGCGGCCTATCATTGCTGATTCAACAATGCAGACGCACATAATGAGTGCGCATGTGGGAAAGAGACTAGTCCAACCCACTTTATACGCTGTCGGCCCTATTCTGACAAAACATATCAAATCCAAGGTCTAAAGTCTCACAACAACTTCATACATGAACTTCTCGGACTTAAGTGCCTTAAAGCCTTCCTAGATTCTGCACAGAAAACCCGATATTATGGGTTATCAGCTGTAGGCTGGACCTCTGGTCTCAGTGAGGTCCATATAAATTAGTCATGTAACATGACTTGATCAGAAGGGGAACGAGGCAAGAAGTTTTGCTTCCTGTTAGAATTTGCCACATTTCTTACAATAATTGGCATTCCTTGCAAATATGAACAACTTTCCTGCATGCTGCACAATACATTCTGTATTCTACATTTTAATTTCTTTTCGCTGTTGAGATATCTGTTATAATCTGCCAAGAGATCCCAGATCTGTGCAGATTTATGCATGCCAATATTTCATGCAAGTCCAAGGACATGGACTTGAGGGCAACCCATAATTAGGGCATCATAGATTTGTAATGGAATGGTATGGGATCGAATAGTATGGAATGGAATGATGAGGGATCGAATAGTATAGAGTAGAATGGAATGTACTGGATAGTGAAGGAACTGTGATATGGCTATCCAGGACATGTATATTATGAGATTTATCTCCTAGCAGTAGGAGTAAGCAAAAGTCATCTGAATACAAGCGTTCCTCAGTTAACACAAGTCTTTTCTATATCTACGTTGGTGTTCTACAAACACATATAGCATCCTTCCAAGGTAGAGATTCAACCCTTATGTGCTCATAATTTTAACAGATTTACAGGGTGATCAATTGTCAGGATTGTTGACTTAGCTGGGAGGACACGGGTCGGAACGGAACAGTGTCGGGACTTATGCAGTCGGTATAGGATGTGATCGGAATGGGACTAAGGCGGAACAAGACGGAGACGGAACGGGACGGAGTCGGGGTATAAGGTAAAGCTTATAATAATCGGATCAATTTAAAGTCTAGAATAATTACAAGACAAAAAGCTGCAGAACAAATCCAGTCCTAGACCTTCCTTAAGTACTCAAGAGCGTCGACTACAATCAGGGGAATGATAGTCTACAGCTGTAACACAGCAACTGATTGCTTATGTTGATTAGTAACTGTTGCTATCATAACATTGTAACCATCGCAACGCATTGACTATGTTACCAGGGAAGTTCCTGATTTGGTTGACCAGACTAAACGCAGCATCTCAGCATTAGCCTATGGCACAATGGTAGTAACAAGCAGGCTGTTTTCTTCGTGGGAAAGCCGGTCTGTGACATCAATATAGAAGTCTAAATTAAGCAGAAGGTTGTCTAGCCTTTCCTCTATCAACTAATATGCTCTCTATATACATCCTATGCTATTGCCCTAAGCGGCAATCCGGTTTTCTCTAACTAGTGGTAAGACGATGTCACAGTCTAAGCATAGGCACTTGAGCAACCTTATGGTCAGAGGTTGTTTATTTTCAATCTATGGTGAACTACAGATTGAAGAGGATAATAACAGTTACTTTAAACATGATTATTATCCAGGCCAATGACACAGTTTTCTATCTGTATATCTGTATACCTTCTCGTATCCCTTCTCGTGCCCTATTCTTGGAGGTGTTTGCCAAGTTGTAAGACCCTGCTTCCAAGAATAGTCCCTGCCTAGTTTCATGCTAAACCTGCATTAGACAGCGCAGGCCACAGGCAATTACCGGCTTACAAGCCGTCATAGACGACGCTAGTACCTCGTCTCCGGCTCCCGATAATCTGCGCTTCAGGATCCTCAGCTCATTGTCGCCCTGTTGACTTCGCTGTTGGTGATAGAGTTTGGTTAGATATGAGATATTACCCATCCGCACTTCCCCCCAAGAAGTTGGACTTCCCAATCAATGGGCCATTCACCATCACTGTGTGACGGCCCTGCACCATAGTATTGAGTACAGATGCAATGACGTAGCAATTAGTCAGTGTTGTATAGAGCTACTCTGTATGGAATGCACGGACCAGGTATAAATTATGTACTATAATAGATCTGTAGATGTATTCCTTTCCTCCTCTTCTTTAGTTTAGAATCTTACACATTCCAATCCTGATCTGAGTCTCTACTTGATTTGACGTTGTCATCGCTTAGCTCGTGCTCCTTCCGGACACTCAGACACTGCCCAAGTGGGTAACTCCTTCAGGTTAGCTCTTCCGGAAACTATGAAAATACATGATGTGTTTCCATCTGGAAAGTTACGCAAGAGCAGTGATGATCCATTGCCTGGACAATTTCAAGATAAGTCCTTCCCACTCAACATCACTGGAGAGGACGAATGGGAGGTTGAGGAAGTGCTCGCGTGTCGCCTTCGGTATGGAAAGTTGGAGTTTCGGGTCACTTGGTTGAATCACGACGTCGATCTCACTTGGTATCCCGCATCTGATCTCAAGAATGCCCCCCACTAGGTGAGGGACTTTCATCTTGCAAACAAGGAATAAGCTGGACCCCCATTGAAGCTGGAGGAGCAGATAAAGGCTTGGGAACAAGGCCGAGAAAACTATGACGACCTCGACAACGACAAACTAATGGGTAAAACCTCGATGGCGAGCTTTTTTCGAAGGGGGGGATAATGTGACAATTTGTCACGATGCTAATGATGAGGGTGGCCTGAGGCATAAAGGCGTTATTCCCCGCATTCTTTGTATATAGTTTGGGGCAGGTCCCCCGCCTTTCATAGAATTTGTCTTCTCTCTTTAGCTTAATATTCTAAGGATTAATTGAAGTACTTTCACACATTGATCTTATCGCAGCTGCCATACACCCGCAAATTACCATCGATTCGTTAGCTGGAGAGGGGAGATAATGAAGGGCAAAGGGTTCCTCTAAGTGTATGATCGAATGAGGACTTGTGAGGGGCGGTACTGTTCGAGGGGAGCTATATGGGAAGCATAGGAGGGGATATACTACTGGCAATGATATCCTTGGCATGTAAGCAGAAAGGGCCTGCATGTCCTATATAGTGATAGACTAAGAAAAGACAATAATATGAATTAATATTGATCCTCTTACTGACACCATCAATCCGTTCGATACCATATTTAGATTCCATCAACAAGTCAGATTAAGCTGCTACGCTATTCCGTGCGCATCAATTCGCTTGTGGGGAGGGCAATGACTGAACACCTGTTCGCGGCGTCCTCTACGAACCTGTGAGTGAAATATTCTCCCAGAGCCAAGCTCTGTCAAATTTCGCAATATCAAAGAAGTTGGCCCACGAGGCAATGATTCATACTACTCAACCACGTCAAATCTTCACTCCCAAATAGTCAGATTCATACCTAAGCCTCATCAAGTCTAAAGGTACGACCCGGTACATTCTCCTTTCGATGACTGCACCTTTCATCGAATATTTTCTGGCCTCAGCTGTTCACTGAATGCACGCCCATGCCGATATTTATACTCGACTGAGGAAGCAAAGCGTGGTGCACAATTTTGGGAGACAGTTCTTTTGAATGAGCGTGTGAGAAATCAGGGCAAGTTTACAAGATGATGTAGAGGATGTAGAGGATGGCTGTAATCTCGACGGGCGTGAAATTCTGAATTATGGCATGGAGCTTTGCGAATTAAGCTTTGTGTGTGCGCCAAGACTTCGGTTGCGAGAGTGCTGGCGACACTATAAATTCCTCTGTGTCTAGATGGTGCGGCGATACATCATATGGGACGGTCTCTCAAGGAATATCTGGATAACTTGGACACATATCCCACTCGATACAGGAGACTGCTGATCCGAAGCCGGCAAAACTAAACTACGTTTCTATTGGAGCTGGCATGCTTGGATAATCAAAGGTTTTGAAATTCCCTTTTGGTGGGTACTTACAGAGAAGTATCGACTGTTTGTGTAAGCAAGCATACCTCATAGTGGTATTTACGAATAAAACCCCGAGTACGAGTGTCTCTAACGTCAAAAGAGTCATCCTTCATGTATATTCAGCACCTGTCATGTGTCCTAGCTGCATACACATTGAATGATTTGAATGAAAAAATGCGCTTATGGGCGTGTGAGTGATAGACATGCGGTGTGCATTGACATGGCGCTTTACAATACATATGTCAAGGCAAATTTCGCATGTGTGGCAAAAATTTGTGTGAAGGCATACAGCCGGGACCGTAGCCTGTAATTTAGGATAAATTACTTGTAGGCAGTGGCATAGTTAATCCCAAACACAACCTGCCCAGAATGAGGATGAAATAAATTTTATGTGAAAATTTAATGAATCGCAGTAATGCCTTGACAATTCGAAAAATCTCCCAAAAAAATAAATTTTTAATGTTTACAGCAGGCATTGGGCTAAATGGTACCGTCATATTAACCGGAATTCATTATGAATGTTTTATTACATTATTACACCACTATTTGGATTCAGGCCAGAGCTCTCGCGCCCCTTCTGAGAGTATTGTCCTGTCGTACTGAGTGGATCTTTGCATTTCCCAAGCGTAAAACTTCCTTACTACATTGACATAATATGAAGGCCATCATAGACTAATAGTCCTCTATATTCAAACGAGACAAATTAATGAAAACACCTGAAGTTCTTTCATCCTCATCAAAGAAAATTAGTGTAGAACAATGAGCCTTCCGCAATCACCAGGATCTCCATCTAGTCTTCATGAAATTGATCTCGTTAATCTTGCTTGATTCTCGTCATTGGGGTTTGTTATGCGGATACGAGCAATTTTACCCTTTGCTGGAATCGGATCAAGTCTATTCACTCTTACTCGTAGATGTCTAAGTTTGAACTTGCGGCACAATGTAGGCTTGCGGAAAACTTTGGACCGGAACCCAAAACAATTAGATCCACCGAATTTTGTATTTTCGAATTTAGTGAATTGATTCATAAATTTGCTTACTTGCGCGCTGTTAGATTTAATAAGGACGGTTATATGCCTTCCTGAATATTGCTCATTACCAATGTAAGTACGCTCCGTCCAGTCGCTAGAGGAATGACGTCGCGTAAAACTTCGCAGTTGGCCTTGATTCCATGCCAAGACGTCTTGGGAGTTTTTTCCATCCAGTTGCATAACAAACTGACCGTCAAAAATTGCGTCCGCTATTGCTACTGGCTCATCAAATTTTATGGTTGGTAGATTTTCATCGCTATACGTCGTCACGAATCCGTGCCCATGAGCACACAAAACTCTTCGTTGATAGGCCAAACTGATTAAGAGTCTTTTGGTGCATTGATGTGACTTGATGAGATTCGAAACAGGCAATAGACCTGCCTCTGCAACTTCAGCCTCTTCAAATCTACCCGTTACAGCTTCTCTGTTTGATTCAAAAAAGAGATTATTCACATAGTTGAAGCATTCATCTTCCGACTTCTCGTCGTTGCCAAATCTCCCGTCAACGTGGCTCGGCAAGCTTGTCAAGCCGCCACTAACAAATCCCCGTAAATCATCGATTGTCGCTTTAATGGAGCAATAAACCGTTACATAAGTGCCGGGCTCGTCAACAGTGACCAAAGTTCTGTAGATACCAGAGCCTCGGCCAGGCACCGGAAATGGTTGCTCATGATTAGCTTCATAGATGAAGTAATTAGGGCTCCTAAGCTCAGTGGATGTGATGACCAAACGATCCTTTTGCGCTAATTTCTGGCCCGTGTATAAAAGAATTGCGAGAAGGCAGACCATTGGCGCAGATCTGAGAATATTCTATCGACCTATGTTGTATGATCCACTGCAATTCCGATGTGTCGGTGGTCTTTGAAAAGTCTGGACCCTATCGTGTGTATTTGCCTTGGGGTATAGGACTTCAAGGGAGAGAATCTAGTCAAGGTAATTTGAGATTTTTGCCAGGCCTGAACGAAAATGGAACGAGGTTATAAGATGATAAGATGCCATTAGAACCTAAAAGATAGCTGTGTGTGTCTAGTCTAGTGATTGCAATTTCTTCTGCTCCGCCATACAAGAGTCATGTGTTGTGGGTTTCTCATCTTATGATCTGGACACGAGAGATTGGGCAAGCTAGTGACGGGACGAATGAGAGAAAGTGTCAGCAAGAAATCTTGAATACAAGGAATCAGCGTAACTATATCTCTTTCATTTATGGGGGCGGAGATATGAGCCGGATAACATTAGGTTTATAGAAGCATGAATGTCGAGTTAAAGCAATTTCAAACAAATTATTGCATGCTGTCTATGAATGAACCGAGGATACGGGGCAACTATCTTTGTGGTAAAAAGCGTTCCTTGGAAGCACGGAAGTGAAATAAAGTGCCTGACTAGGATCAAATCACACCTCGCAAAACCAAGATTTCTGGTTTATGAGACATTGAAGACTTTTTGCGGCATTGGGCACCAAATCCTTAAAAGACCAGTTCAATCAAAGGTTCGTCCAGTCTTCAAGCACGACGAAGTGCATCCTCATTCTTACGACTTCGCATCCATTCTGGGAGATGAAGACTCATACCTGTCAAGGGTAACCCCTACAAACCTTCAACCCTCATCAGAGCTTATTGAGCTGAAAATAAGCAACACTTTCGTCCCACCGCAATGTGGATTCCATTTCGCTTTCGCAGTCTATATTGTCTTCGTCTCTCAGTATAACCCCTGAGAACCACTATCATGAAGCTCACCACCTTAAAATCAGACGGAATGGCCGGAGGCCTACTCATTGCCCATTTTTGGTAATGGAGGGGAAGCCATACAACGAATTTCCAGGGCATGCCCGGTTTCCTTTACGGCTGTGTTGGACGAAACCAATTTGACCTCTAATGTTACAAAGATGGGTGATAAAGATGGATGTAGGAACACATGAGGCTTCAGCATTCAAGACTTGCCAGTCTGGGGCTTCAGGTGTTTTGACAGCTTATTGTTAACGATCACTGCACGCAAGCAACACCATAAAATAATTAATATTTTTCTATGGGGAAAGAAAATTACAACTCGATTGTGGCAACACAGAGTGTACCCTGATAATCACCTTACATAAGCACTACCAATGGGTTGGATTGGTTTGTTCATTAACGTGCTAGGTAAAGTGATTCCCGTTGCACTCCTACTGGAGCTTAAGCACGGGTGGGGTCGGGCTGGATCAAGATAACTACCGTTAAGTACATCTACCTCGTCCCACCTAAATGTACGGACCACCTCAGACTTCATCCATGTGTTGAATCATGCCAAGCTCAACCGTCCAGAGAACCCCCTTTTGGCGCGCCGAAGCGCAAATTCCTCCTCAGCCTCGGCCACCACGCGCCCGAGCCCTTGACACCTTCGCCATCTGTAACTTTTCCCTTCCATTTAGTCCCAGCTTTGGCTCATCTCATGCAGGGGTCTTTTTCTTCATTGGAGGCCTCATCCAGTCGCCCACTAAGGCCTCCTGAGTTAGTATTCCCCTTTGTTACTTCATGCAACATCTCTCTGTCCTTCAGCCGATCTCGTCATCCCAGAAACTTTGTAGAATGTCCACCCCTCCGGCCTTGCCCCATCGCTGCCGTGCCCTTAACCTTGGGGGTCAGAAATGTGACTAAGAGCTCAAGACCGAGACACCGGTGCCCCAGCCTTTGTTGAACGCTCTAGTTGGTGTGCTGACGAAACGTCGTATGTTTTTCGTCGGTGGCAATTTATCGCAGGTCGAGTTGTTGGTGCCCTTGGCTGAGGTGAGGACGCATTTAAGGTCGGTATTTTGACCGTACCTTCACAGCGACTGGCAGTTGCGGAGGCTCGGACTTCCTCTTACTTCTTTGTTGGCGATATGGCTTTGGTAGGTGGTGAGCTAATTATAGAGAGGGCCGCGAGATGAGTTTGGCTGAGCATGATTTTTCAGAGAAATAGAAAATAAGATCTTGAAGGTGTCGGTTGTTGTGATATGAACATCAGATAGGTTTTAGCCTGTCTGCGGTTAGTATCTGGGGTTTAGGTGGTTGATATCGTTGAGTTGTGCAGTCGTGAAATCTCTGCAAGTCGGATTTTCGACCAAAAATGAGCCAGCACCACTCCTCCCGATCGCCAACTCGACGAAAACTCTCAAATCCACCCTTTGTCGTGACTGAATCTCGGCTATGGGAGAATATCTCACTCCCAGGTTTGTAGAGGACACCACTGACAGGTGTTAAGCCTTGGTCCTTCAGCACTACCGCTGGGCATTGCTTAGTGTAGAAGCCTGAGCCTTGTCACTCACTGATTGGATGCAAGGCTGGGCACGCATGTCAGCCCAGACATCCAATAACAGGTAATCCCGTAACACATTTCCAGCGCATGAGTTCCACTGATCTACCCTTAGACAATTGTTTGAGCGCGGAAAACACGTGGGTGAATTTTTTACGATATCTGAGATAAGTCAGAAGCGTCAGCAGCTTTCGTCCGACGTAAAAAGTAGGGTGTGGTGAACCCTGACTAAGGAGGGTAAAGACTAATCACCTGCCCGCGGTGTGCTCTACAAACATGCGAGTGAAATTCTTTTCAAGGGCCAAGTTTACTCTAATTTCGCGATACCTGAGGTGGATTACAAGGCAATGATTCAAGGTCCCCGGCAATTCAACCTCTCCCTTCTATCTAGATCAATTACCACCGATTTCTCATCCATTCTACAGATACGAGACAATACATCCGCATTTCAACGACCACATCCCTCGTCAACTTATTCTTCAGCCTTCTGTGGCCTTGCAATGCGCGCCCACGAAAAAAAGACCACCAGCAGGGTAAATACCGTGGCACACAAAGCCGGATGGCTGATGTTTGAAATGGACGTGGTATGACGATAGATGGACAAGCTTAAGCTGAAGATGGGTACAGGTTCGAGGGGGGTAAGATTCAGTCATTGCGGTGGAGTTTTAGAGCTTGAAGAGCATTGTGCGCGCCATGACTTCGATTGCGAGAGTGCGGGCGACACTTTAACTACGGCATTGATTCCACAGTGCCGTCGTACAGCAACCGCGCTGATCGTCCAAGTAGAGTCTGGATACTTAGACCCATACGCTTTACCTGAAATCCGTGTCTATCAACGAAATATTAGAACCCCGGTCATGAGGTTGTGTAGTGCATTCAAGCAGCTACCCTGAAGAACACAAGAACATGATTTGTAGTCACTTTTGAATCAACAACGTTGCCCACTTGATAGTCCCGATTATTCAATATCCTAAGAGTATCGATGTTTTAGATAGCAGGGAACATCTGCCCATTGAACCACTTGATTAAGTCCAACCGTTTACGCTGTGAAACCTACACTTCCCAATTGTTCCTTCGACCAAAATCCAGACTGTAAGCGTCTCCGAGGTCAAAGGTCATTCAACATGTAAACATAGGACCGATTATGTGCTACAGTAATTTAGCTGAAAACACATGAATTGGTGAAAGAAAGGATTCCTGACAAAGTATGGTCGTGTGGCAAGGATTTGGCCCAGAGGAAAGTTCTTCATAAGGATATTTACTGACGAGATAAAGTCTCATAAATACTCAGCAGTATTAGCTTGAGGTATCTCTCTTTTTCACACAGGTTATACAAATAACAGTCCTTCATAGTCCTTGACTCAGTAGGGACATAAAATTCTATTCTATTCCATGCAATGAACTTACTCATCACCAACTCATTTTTCGTCGCGCTTGTGCTTCAGCCCAAATTGAAGTCCGAGTAATGTCATCAGACTAGCATGCTAGTAAACGAACAAAGAGAGTCATTTTTTCGCCATGAGAGATTGGAAGGCTCATAAATATCTTGACTTTGTCGCTTCAAGGACATGAGCACTTGACACAGCATGCTACGCAGCCCGAGCAGTTATCCTTCAATCAGGGTTTCTAAAGCACGTCTACTGGTGCCATTAATTTCAACAAACTGCAGTAGGAGCTTTTCCTAGGAGTTGGAATAATTCATTGGGGAATGTTGATATATCCCTTTCCACTTTTCGGAATTGATCACATATATTCAGGAGCTTAACGTTGCAGTAGTTTGATGGCTGTAATTTTTGCGTCCAATTTAGCTGCGTACTTTTGCCAAAAATCAAAATTGTGTACAATATTTGAGGGATCAATTAGTTGCTATTTATTATTTGGATCAGAGATTCCTGTTACCCAACTCTTCCCCAAATCCATTATTTCGTGACTAATAATATCATGCAGAAGTAGCCGCTTCATTTAATAAAAATGTTTAATGTCCAGAACTTTACAAGCAAGGCCATTTCACAACCTTAAATTTTGGTATAGACGGTATCAGATATCATAGGGATTCTTAAATTAGATCGATAAAGAAATATGTACGGGTCTAGACCACTTGGCGCGAATTTATTTGATTTTGGATCAAAAATCAAAGTGGATGGATGCCCTTTGTAACATATGTTAAGCTGCTAGTATCTCACTCATTAAGCTTGAGGGAGAACTCCACATGTGGTACGCCCTTGTGCAGCGAGCTTGTCGTAAGAATAGAGATATCTGTATCGGCCAACATTAGCTGGATATTGCGATAATGAAAAGACTTACCTCGGCTAACAAAGGATGTAATATTCTCTGGGGTGATGTTACCAGTGCATTCAACGATAAATTTAAATTTATTATGTCGGACATCTTGAAGATGCCAAGCCACGAGCTTGAAATTCTTAATCTTTTGAGGGTTTAACACGATAATGTCGGCCCCACCATCTATGGCGTGATGGGCAGCGATTTCACTGCTCACCTCTACGGCTATATTATGATTAGGGCCGCAGACATCTCTAATTCGCTTCATGAAGCAAGTTACACTCCAGGAATCAAGGTTTTCGGGGGGTTTTACGACTGTCAAATTCGAGAGGTCAAAACGATGAGCATCAGCGCCGCCGATGATTAGGCCGTATTTTTCCACAAGCCTAAAGCCAGGAGTTGTTTCGCGTGTTCCAGCCAAGCTGCCTTTAAACCCTGCGTTTCGTGCGATACTAATCATTTTATCTGTCTGCGTAGCAATGGAAGAGCATCGGCTCAACACATTAAGGGCGATTCTTTTACCACGGAGAATTTTTCGAAGCGGTCCCGTTACAGTTGCGAGGGCTATGGTTACGCCATTATCATGAGTGCCACAGCCTTCCTCTTTGAGCCATTCTACTTTACATCCAACGTAGTTGAAGACCTCCTGGAAAAATGGCGCGCCAGCTAGAATTCCCGGCGATTTTCCGTAAAGTGTGGCCGTCTTCTCCTCGTCTCCAGTCAACGATTCGGCGCAATCAAGCGATTCACAATCCTCAGCGAACCATTCAGCAACTTGACTTTTCCAAGTATTGGGGAGAATATGAGAAAATTTTCTGACTCGATCTTTGTAAACGAATCTGGGATCCTTGACACGCATTGCTGTATTCGCACATGTGTTCCGCGTTCTCTGCGGATACAGTTGTCGATGGTGATAGTTTGTAATAATATTTAGACAGCTTGAATAAAATACGCGCCTTTAACCGATAGGCTAGTGTTGCATATATTTCAATTCGATCGACCTTACTTGATCTATGTATTGTTTATCGTAGTACACACTCAGATTTTCCCAACCTACAGGCCAAGGATGTAAATAACCGGGGGATGTGGGGCAAGGATCTCAGGTCTATCATCGGCGTCCCAAGGACCTTCAAGTGTCACCTGTGTATCTATACGGTGAATGTTTATTGGATGACGGCTCAAAGCCTATTTATGATATCCTCAATGAGCAAAATGGTGAACCACTCCCTGTAACTCGAGATTCAAGCTTGTTAAAAGTGAGCTTGAGAGTTGTCGCCCAGATGAGCAATGTGTAGAGTGGCGTCGGCATAATTTTGGGCGAATCTCCGTCCTACAGGGAATAAACGACAGCACAAATTATCGAAATTAGTTAACTGCGCCCCGAATGCCATGTCTATCACAGTATATCGAATAGCGCTACGGAGGGCAAGACTAAGCACCTGTACGCGGTGTCCTCTACGAACCTGGGAGTGAAATATTCTCTCCGAGCCAAGTTCAGTCAAATTTCGCAATATCAAAGAAGTTGGCCCACGAGGCAATGATACAAATTACTCCACCACCTCGATTTTTCGGTCCCAACGAGTTTGACTCTTACCTAAGTCTCATCAAGTCTATAACTACAACCAAGTACATCTTCATTCCAATGACCACACCTCTATTCGACCTTCTCTAGCCTCGGTTGACCACCAAATACACGCCCACGCCGATATTTATACCCGACGGAGGAAGCAGAGCGTGGCGCACAAATCTGGGAGACAGTTCTTTGGGATGGACATGAGAGGGATCAGGAGAAGATGACAAGATGATGCAAAGGATGGATATAATCTCTACGAGCGTGTGATTTTGAAATTTGGCAAGAGTTTTACGAATTAAGCTTTATTTGCGCCAAGACTTCGCTTGCGAGAGTGCAGCTGACACTATCAAAACAAGCCAACGATGGAAGGTGTTGTGGTCCGCCTCCTGGTGGTGTTCTCTGGTATAGTTTGAGCAGCCTGGGCACCCACTCCACTTGGGAAGGAGGCGCGTCAGACTACTCCTAGTGCGGAGACTAGTTGATAGGTGATGGAGACATGTATGGACAGACCAGAGCTTTTGAGAATTTTCCCTTCGCTAGCGCTCACGGACGAGGGCCGTGTTGGGGTGAACAAAAAACCACCTCAACTTCTTAGTGGTATCTTCAAATGAAATTCGAGGCATGAGTGCTCTATTTTTAAGTTGAGTCATATATATTCTTTACTTTGTATATAATTTTGTGTGATAGCTAGATAGCTGCACACGCAATCGAGATTTGATGTAAATAAGATAACAGTTATCCCAAGGAGGTTGAGGTGCTGGAACCACTTATTTATAACAGAGAGACTCGCTCAAGTAATCCTGCCTCCAGCAAATGATGACGTACAAAAACACTACTGTTTCGACACTTCCACTATTCCTAGAAATAGTTTTAGTGTTCCTGTTGTGGATATCGTGAGCACGACTCGGGGGTGTCTATTTACGATAGGTATAAGGTCTATGGCAGATACCTTGACAAGGGCGGCAAACCACTACGCATGACCAGTTTGGGGTAGAGTCATCTGTAATTTGGAGCGACTTCCTGACCCGATGCTTCACCCAAGTAGCATCATATATACATAGTACTGTGGCATATTTGTGGAGCTAGGCTCGAGTGATACGTAGCCAATTGTAGACGTAACTGCGTTAAGAAATCTCAGTTGACGACCGAGTAGCACTGGTGTAGTCATGTAGAGTAAAGGCTATCACGAGAGAAGTGTCTATGATAGAGCGATTTCTTCATTTTTAGATAGAAGCACGTAAACAAGCAACCAATCAATTAAATATTATTAGGATCAGTATTTTTATCACTTCACTATCAATAATCACACGACAATATTCCAATAATTCCCCCGATTGCAATTCCTTTGAAAATTCTCTCAGCTTACGTACAAAACCCTTCCATAGTCAAAGACACTGTGGCAACTTTATTTCTATTGTATTCTATTCAGTTCAGTTTATTTCTTTCGACCTTACTCAAATAGCCGTCCACTGGTAATGGACCAAGTTTCGGCAATTCCACTCGCAGGTTCCTGTATCTGAATTCGCGACAGGTGTCAAGGCCAAGGGTAACTGTCTTCCGGAGTCCATGACATTCAGCCGTAATCTTTTGAATACGATTCTGTGTGTCGAATTTATCCATAAAATTTCTTACTTGCACATTATTATCTCCGACAAATCTGGTTATGATCCTTCCTGTACTTGGCTTCTGAACAACCGTGGTATACTGCAACCAGCGACTCCCAATATCCCGCGAGAATATTTGCAGTTGACCCTAACTCCACCCCAATGCCTCTTCCCTGATCAATACGGTTTGTCTAATGATCATTTGACCGTCTAGTACCGTAGCCGCGATTTTTAGCGGCTCATCAAATTCTATTGTTGGGAGACGAGCGTCACGGTACGTCGGCGTGAACCCGTAGCTACCAGCGCATAAAATTCTCTGTTGATAGGCTAGACTGATTAAGATTCTCATCGTACATTGATGCGACAGGATGAGCTGCGAGACAATAAATGAGCCTGGTTCTATTCCTTTGGTATCTTGAATCCCCACTTTTTTTACTATCTCCCTTCTTTCAAGATCAAGGTTATTCACATAGTCGAGGCATCCATCTTCTACCCTCTCGTCGTTGCTAAATCCTCTATCAAGGCGAGCCTGCGTCCTGGTCAAGCCTTTACTAACAGCCCCCTGTAAATCATTTATTGACAATTTAATGGAGCAGTAAACCGTTAAGTAAGTGCCTGGCCCGTCAAATTTAACCAAAGTCCTGTAAATTCCAGAGTCTTTGGCAGGCACTGGAAATAGAGTTTCGTAATTAACTTCGTAGCTGTGGTAAGAAGTTTCTTCGTACTCCAATGAAGTGATGACAAATCGATCTTTTTGCTGCAAATTTGTCCCCGTGTACAAAAGAAATGCGAGGAGGCAGACCATATTTGTAAATACGATCTTTACCCACAGGCCACTGATAGATTAGTAGCTGTTCTGTGAGAGCGTCTATAGCTTTCTTTAAGTCCTGAGGTTATAAAGTATATTTGATTCGGAAAATGCGGCGTTTAGGGAGGGCCTTGAGTAACGGGAATTGGAAATTTTTCTAGTATTCCGTTGCGAACCCAAGAAAGACAAAAGATAATGGGCATGAGCAGGTGCTGTGAGAATTTGAAGTATGACTGCAGCTCTTGTCCAGTCATTGCAATCTCTTCTTCCTTTTCATACACGAGTCAGATTATGTGATATTATCAAGCCATGGTTCAAAAATAATGGAGGATAAGTGAGCCACGGCTGAAGCCGTGGTCGGGAAGAAAGAAAGTGAGAGGAAATTAGAGCACGAGTTGTGCAGATATTTTGTTCGCAAGGGACCTTTTTATCTTCATTTCTTTCAATTATTGGGCCCCGGCTATGACTAGAAGAGCAAAAAATTACAGGCGCATCAAGGTCATATTCTGCTAATTTCAAACAAATTGTTGCGTGCTGTCTGACATTGATTTCATTATTCTGGTTTGGCGCCCGATGGTCCCATGCAGGTGTCTAAGGAATTTGACATTTAAATGGGCGGAAGTAGTTTGGTGGTATTCACCCTGAACTTTCCGTTGATTATCTTGGGTTTTCACATTTGCTCCTCCGGAAGCGCATTTACACCATAGTGCCGTCTACGTCGCCCAACCATACCCTCTCTATCGACCCAAAGAATTACTTGACCTATTACTTTCCTCCAGCAGCATTTCTACCGCCTTTGTCCCCTGAAATTGTTCTATCAAACCATGATTTAGGATCCATCGTGCAATCATTTTGATGTCGCCTGCGTTACTCATCATGACTTCATATGATCGGTCTCGAGCCATTCCCCAGATCTGCACTCCACCATTATACTGTGTGTTGTGTGTGTATGTGTTTTATTGTACTACTTGAGTCTATGACTATCCAGCACATTTGGCTCCTCTCTGACCCAGGCCACACCTTGTACAGTGCTCCTATCTGTTGAAATATGATATATCTTGGAATGCCAAGAATAACTTATTAGTAAGTCCGGCTAATTTGACTATCAAATTCCCCATTCTATATCACTGTTATCAATACATCATTCACCGAAAGTTTAATGCGCATTAGCGTTTATTTCACACTAGCATTCCAGCGGATGACTATGTCTCAAATGCAGGTTATAGTTTTCTCGTATCTATTACCGACACACATGTATTTAGCTTTATATTCCTGACCCATATATGTTTATGTACATAGATCTACATCTACATGGATCATAACTTACGATCCATGGAGATTGATAAATACTGGTCAAAAACCACAGTTGATAAGATATGCGAACACGCAATCTCACTCTTATCATCTCGGTTTTACTCTGAACCATACATCTAAATACAATTGTTTCCACTCGGATCTTCCTCTCACAACCTCATACGAGACTTACTGCATCGGTCTAACCGCCGATACTGATTCCGCTACAACCTCCATCTTCGCTCAAGCTCATAACTTTAACAGGTTATGAGCCCGGTACTCTCAGTTAATCAAATGTCGAAAGCATCTACTGATTCCTATCGGCAATTTCTATCGAAGTTCTTAGAAGAAGACAAGGCAAAACGTGATTTTCTTCTAGCCCTCCTTTCCGAACATCACGAAAATGCTGTTGATAATATAACAACAAAAGATGATCTCACCTTCTCTGAAGTTAAGCAGCGACTGATGAACCTGAATCATAAAAACATCACTACACGCCATTCTGCCTTCATGACAAAAGAAATTAAAGGCAACAAATCCTCATCTAATCGAGTATCCAAGAACTCGAACAGACATGAATGCAGTTGGTGTAAGAAACATAATCCAGGACGGCACATTGGACACCTGTGGAACAAATGCAAAAAATTAAAGGAGTCTAAGACTAATCTTTCCAAGAAAGATGGCGGCAGAGATGAGGCTCACATGACAAACTCAAAGAACCAAGAGGTCAGATACCATCCCTTTTACCTTGATACTTGTGCAACCTCTCACATGTGTCCTTACCTAGATCGGTTCGAGAATCTCTCGACTTGTACCGGACTTGTAACTTCAAGCTCTGGTCAAGCTATGCCCGTGAAAGGTAGAGGAACAGTGACGATGGATTGTAAAGCCTCAAATGGTTCTGTTTCAACCTTACGTCTAAATGATGTTTTGTATGTACCTCAACTGCAACGTCCACTCTTTTCTTGGAAGAGAGAAAGATCTAAAGGCTGTACTTTATTTGATGATGGGAATGTAATGAAAATTTTAAAAAACGGTAAAACACTATTGGAAGCAAAGTTTGATGGCCCTCTGCCATACATAGTCGAAATTGAAGACGTTGCCTGCTTGACTTATGAATTCTGGCACGAAGCCTTGTGCCATTCAGCTCCATCTTCAATCACCAAGACCAATAAACTTATATTAGATACCGAAACTATCCCCCCATGTCCAGAAAATTTTAAGTGTGAAGCCTGCATAATTGCTAAATCAAGTCGCAACAAACCTAAACCAGTCTCGAGAAAGACAAAATCCAAAGGAGAATATATACATTCTGACTTATGTGGACCATTACCAGTACCTTCTTATGGAGGCGCTCTATATTACATCAGTTTCGTTGACGATGCAACTCGGCTTTCTTCAGTTCAATTTCTAAAACTTAAATCAGAAGCATCTCAGTCAATCATTGATTACATCTCAAAAATGGAAACTCAACATGATGTCAAAATTAAGTGTTTCCGAACTGACAATGGCGGAGAATATCTGAATGACAAATTGAGCAGATTCTTTACTCAGAAGGGGATAGAACATGATCTCACCCCACCATACTCTCCAGAATCGAACGGAATCGCTGAAAGGTTAAATCAGTCAATTGGGGAAGGTATACGCGCAATGCTTCTACCAATAAAAGACAAAAGATTATGGGCAGAGGCAGTAAATACATATATTCATGTTAAAAATATCCAATCCCACAGCGCAATCAATGGGATGACTCCGCATGAGGCATTCTACAGCGAAAAACCCTCACTCTCCTACCTCCAGCCCTTTGGGCGAAAATGCTACGTACATATCCCTAAAGAGAAGCGTGGTACTGGAAACAAACTTCTTCCAAGAGCAGAAAATGGTATATTTGTCGGATACACCAAAGTCAATCATCATTATCGAATATTCATCCCAGAAAGAAAGCATACCTATGTGTCAGCAAATGTTGAGTTTTTACCGTACACTTTGGAACAGCCTATCATGAACTCAATGACTACATCTCAAGAACATAACTGTTCAAGCCTACCCGATGGATCTTTAGAGATTAATATAGGACCTGTCCCTATCAATGAGCTTCCTGCACGAGAGAACTCACACAGGCCTGCTATCCAAAATAATGATAATGAATTTCCAAGCCCTGATAATTTTCAGCAAACTCTCGACTCTACCTCCTTACAATCTTCAACAGACTCGACCGTTTCGAACCCCTTGTCGACCCTTGAACCTCAAAGCTTACCCAACCTAACAAACTCTCATAATTCTGATGAAAATCTGATACGTTATCGAAGAACTCAATCTGGCCGTCAAGTTCGACCTCGGTTATATAATGACACTATAACAGGTGATTGGTGGAATGCATCAAATGACATTTCCTCCCATCAACCCCCAGTCGAGTTCTCAACTGAATTTCCGGATGAAGAGGCGCTTATCAACATTCTAGAAATCCCTATCCCTAAATCTTATAACATGGCTAAACAATCCGTGCACTGGGATCAATGGGAAAAGGCCTTCAATGACGAGATTACTTCCCTTCGCGAAAATAACGTATGGGAAGTGGTACCTAGACCAAAAGGACGAAAAATAGTTGATGGCAAATGGGTCTGTAAAGTAAAAGGGGATGCTCAAGGAAATCTAGAACGCTTCAAGGCACGATATGTAGCTAAAGGATTTTCTCAGGTGCAAGGGCTAGACTATGACGAAACCTTTGCTCCAGTCGTGCGATACGACTCACTTCGATTACTTTTAGCCATTTCAGCTAACAAACGTTGGAAACCTAGACAGCTTGACATTAAAACAGCTTTCCTCTATGGTATACTCAACGAAGAAATATATATGCAGCTGCCAGAAGGATTTAGGAAAGAAGATCACGTTGCACGACTAAATCGATGTATCTATGGCCTAAAACAGTCACCTCGAGAATGGTACTTTCGATTAGTCGAATATCTTAAACCTTCTGGCTTTACCTCTTCCCTCTTTGACCCCTGTGTACTTGTTCATGACTCAGGAAATCTAATCATGGCAATTTATGTAGACGATATCATACTATTCGGGGAAAAAGGAGACCTTATAGAACAAACAGTCAGCCTACTCAAATCTGAATTCAAAGTTAACGATATGGGAATACTTCATTGGCTCCTTGGCATTCAAATAGAGTATTCAGAATCTGAAATCTCTCTGTCGCAGACTGCCTATATTGATAAGATATTGAACCGATTTTCTATGCAAGAATGCAATCCTGTGTCCTCACCCATCGATCCAAATCATCGGCTCATGACTGCGGAAGAAGGGGAACCTAGGACAAATGTAACAACATTCCAGCAAATTATTGGGTCTATTATGTATCTGGTCTCTGGAACCCGACCAGACCTTGCATATACAATCACCCATCTCTCTCAATTCAATTCGGATCCCACTCAAGCTCATCTGAATACAGCAAAACGTGTTCTACGATACTTAAAGGGTACAAGAAATTTAAAGCTTCACTACAAGTTTGATTCTCCCCTTGTACTAAATGGATTCTGTGATGCGTCATATGGCAACTGTCTCGATACGCGAAGAAGTTTTTCTGGATACATCTTTCAACTTGGTAGTTCTACTATCTCCTGAAGATCACGTAAACAACGCACTGTAGCACATTCAACTTGCGAAGCTGAGTACATGGCAATAGCGCTCGCATCCAAGCAATACATCTGGATTTTGCGCGGACTTCACCGATTCCTTGGAGATAATATCCCGGCAGCCATCTCGACTGACAATACGGCAGCCATCGAACTTGCTCACAATCCAAAGCTAAATGATGCCTCGAAGCACATCGACATTGCCTATCATTTTACAAGGGAACGAATTGAAGACGGCTCGCTCACACTATTACATGTTCCTTCAGCTAAAAATCTCGCAGATATATGTACAAAAGGCTTACCGAGACCTAGGCACTCCGATTTATGCACTTTAGTTTTCGGTACTGGTGCAACTACTAGCGTGTCTACTATCCAAATATTAGGTGAGAAATGACAATTATCAGACTAACAGTTTTTCACTTATGCATCTATTATCGATGCAAAGTGAGGAGGGGTGTTGAAATATGATATATCTTGGAATGCCAAGAATAACTTATTAGTAAGTCCGGCTAATTTGACTATCAAATTCCCCATTCTATATCACTGTTATCAATACATCATTCACCGAAAGTTTAATGCGCATTAGCGTTTATTTCACACTAGCATTCCAGCGGATGACTATGTCTCAAATGCAGGTTATAGTTTTCTCGTATCTATTACCGACACACATGTATTTAGCTTTATATTCCTGACCCATATATGTTTATGTACATAGATCTACATCTACATGGATCATAACTTACGATCCATGGAGATTGATAAATACTGGTCAAAAACCACAGTTGATAAGATATGCGAACACGCAATCTCACTCTTATCATCTCGGTTTTACTCTGAACCATACATCTAAATACAATTGTTTCCACTCGGATCTTCCTCTCACAACCTCATACGAGACTTACTGCATCGGTCTAACCGCCGACACTGATTCCGCTACAACCTCCATCTTCGCTCAAGCTCATAACTTTAACACTATCCTCTTTTGTTACTTGAAAGATCATTGATATATTCCCCTTGATGAATAGCCATTTAGCTCAGTATTTATCCGTGGAATTCGGCCACCTTTCCCACGGAACCTTTTACCCAAAAAAAAAAAAAAAAAAAAAAAAAAAAAGGTAGCAATGGAAACTGCGTGCGCGGGAAAAAGTCTCAAAAAACCTGCAGCCCCAGCCAGGCGAGGCCTAGACACCGAGACCACATAATGTGCGCATATTCATCTATACCTCCCTTCTTTGTAATAGTTGAGGTCGACTTGATCCAATCCACCATCTCCGTATCGGGTGCTGGGTACGCTCCGGAAACTCATCGGATGGCATCTCCTCCATGATCAAGGGTTGGTGATGAGTAGGGCTCCGACCTTACCATCTGATCTGATCGTGGTTAGCTTCATGATAATGGTGATAGGGAAATGTGTTGAGAGATGAAGACGATAGAGACCGCGCAAGCGATTGGGAATCCTCGTCGAAGTGAGGACTTTGTTACTCAATCTCGGCTGTGCAGGCTTTACAGTAAGAGCTGGAGGTTCGCAGGGGACACCGCTGACAGGTGTTGAGAATAGTCCCCCTGCCTTACCCGAAAGTAGGGTTATGGAAGAAAAAAATTAACCAACTGATAAGTTACAGTTTACTTATTAAGGCTTTCCTCTACCTCATGATTTATTTAACACGGTGTAATAAGGAGGAGATTATAGTAATAATTGAATAATTATATATAGTAGCATGGCTAGCTAGGCTGCATACACTTAATGAATAAAAAAAAAGTTGGGCCCTATGTGCTCACTCTGAATTTGCGTTGTTGAATTACTATGGTGTCCTTGTCAGGTTACGATGTGGAAAATATGGTGAGTCTATTTTGATTGGTATATGATTTGGGAATGTACACTTGCGCTGGAACAGCTAAGATAGTTTGTGGAGAGATATCTTCTTTTTTCTTTCATCATTTAATGTGTTTTAGCTATAAAGCTATGACACATGACCGGTACTATGCATATAGGAGGATGAGTCTTTTCACGTTAGAGACACTCATACTCGGGGTTTCGTTCGCAAATACCACTATGAGGTATGCTTGCTCACACAAACAGTCGGCTCTCCTCCGTGAGTACCCACCAAAAGGGAAATTCAAAACCTTTGGTTATCCAAGCATGCCTTCGTCATCCATTTAAACTTGTGCCGCGAGAAATGTGGTTGTGCTCTGCTGGAATCGAACCAGCGATCTACTGTCTCGAGTGGGATATGTGTCAAAGCTATCCAGAATCTACTTGGGATACCAACCAAGATGATGTACCGGAGGACAAAGGCTGAACACCTGTCAGTGTTGTGATTAATGTCATTAACACCCCCGCATCTGGTTATTGTGGATCCCAGACATGTAGAATCTGATGGTTATAACAGAACAGACTAGAGTCAGATAGAATAGAACAGGATGACTCAGAGCTGAATGGAACTGAGCGACTGGGGATACGGAAAGCTATAGAATGTGGTATATGTATATAAAAGTAGTGATTCTCTATACTTGAATGAAAGTAAGCAAGTCTACTAATTCACCATAATCTACCTCCATCTTCAAGTCTCAGTGAACGTGCAGTTATTTACTGGTAACCACTCCACCTCCCATAACATTGCATTTATAACAGTCAGAGGTGTCCTTTACGATCCTGGCAGTGAAATAATCTCCCAGAGCCGAGATTTAGTCTCGAAAAAGGGTGTAAACAAATCTCTTTGGACTCGGTATTTTGGTACAAGAATCAGTCGACAGAGATTTAACAACCGCGAGAAAGCGGAACCAAAAATCATCACCATCAACATACGATTCGCGAATGGGCTTAGGTCCGTCTGGGGGTCGTATTCAAATGTCCGACATCTCTCAAACTCCTCATGTGTTTGCAACGAAGCATTTCTCAGTCGATTCTACACCTGCGACCCACCTCCGTACTCATCCGATCACCTACCTACACACGCCCTAATGAGGAAAGTCATGATGGAAACAGAGCGTGTGCAAAGGAGGAAGAAAAGGGAAGATAAACTGAGGGGATTACACAAATCCCCAACGACGACAACAACCCAACAGTACGATATGAAGGCGCAAGGCTAGAGCAATAATGAGATCTGGGACAACATTTATATTTCAAAGTCAATGAGGATGTCAAGGGCTCGGGCGAGTGATAGCCGACACTGAGGAGAAATTTGGGCTGCGGCGTTTTTACAGCGGGTTTCTGGACGGTCAGGCTTGGTATGTTTCAACATATGGGTGAAGTCTGAGGTGGTCCGGTCATTCAAGTAGGACGAGGTATATCTGTACTTCACGGTAGTTAACCTGATCCGGCCCAGCCCCAGTCGTGCTTAAGCTCCAGTAGGAGTGCTACGGAAGTTACATTACCAAGCACTTTAATGAACAAACAAACAACAGGATGATGTACCCCCACACCATAAAAACATGGCGCTGTTTATATCGTCGCTTACTCTCTCGCAAACGAAGTCTTGGCGTGCGCAATGCCCAATTTAAAAAAGCCTTGTGCAAAATTCAAAAAATTGTCCCTTCCGATTTTGTATCACCATTCGCATTATCCTGCCTATATATCCTGACATCTCTCAAGACCATCCCAACAAACCTTACTCCAGATTTACGCATGAAAATTTGTGTCATCCGTCTGGCATTTATATTCTTGTTGGCAAACTTATATGGTGTTGGGTAATTTGTCTAAATTTAGCTCTAGGAGAATTTATTATTTACAGATCTGTAGAGCAAACCACGTATAGGTGTTCAGTCTTTACCTTCCTAAAATATGACCTTTGTACGCCTCTAATTCTAGTATTATTCAGGTAATGATCCAGCCCTCACAAAAGAAGAATGTTTATTTCGATTCCTTGATTACGAGATCTCTTCTTGACTCGAGTTTTAGTTCCTACTGTCTCTAACTAATCCTATCACTAGCTTGCCCTAGAGATAGTTTATCAGCTCTTGACCTTATCTACACCATGAAATGGTAAACCTACCATTCATGACTCGTGCACGATAGGGAAAAAGAGATTGGGATGACTAGACAAGATATTTAGACAACGCTTAAATTTAAGGTCACCTAGTCATGCCAATCATCTTATATTCTGGTTCCATTAAGATGAACGAATGTCATATATCTTTGATTTCCTTCACGCGCTGCGCGTCCCAAGAGTCTCGAACTCCAAGGCAAGTACTTAAGTTAAGCTCTTAACTTTTCGTAGTTCAACGACGCTTTAGCAGCACAGCAATACATTCATTAGTGGTCGGTACAATATTATCGAATTTGCGCCAATGGTCTGCCTTCTCGCCATCCTTCTATACACGGGTACAAGATTGCCGCAAAAGGACCGTCTCATCATTACGACCTCGGCGTATAAATATCCGTCTTATGGAAATTATGAAGTTAATTATAATCAACTGTTTCCGGTTCCTAGCCCAAACTCTGGTATTTACAGGACTCGGATCACTGTTGATAGGCCCGGCACTTATATAACCGTATATTGCTCGAACCAAGTACTAATCAACGACTTATGGAGTTTTGTTAGTAATGGCTTAACCAGCTTGCGGGGTCGCCTCGATGCAGGATTTAGCAACAATGAGTCGTCGGAAAATGAATGCTTAAATTATGTGAACAATCTGTATCGTGAAAAAATGGAGGAAGCAGCAAACGGAGGATTTCAAGGGGCGAAAGTAGCAAGAATAGACCCACTGCTAGTCTCGGATCTCATCGTGCCGCGATACTGTACGAAAAGGCTCTTGATCAGTCTTGTTTATCAACAGAGAATTTTATCCGCTAATTGGCAGGGATTCACGACAACGTACAGTAATACACTTTATCCAACAGTAAAATTTGATTTACCGGTGGAAATAGCGGATGTAGTGCTGGATGGTCAATTTCTCATGCACGAATGCGAAGCCGGCCGTCAAGAGGCATTGGCGTGGAACCAGGGCCAATTGCAGCTCTTTCGTCGAGAAAGTTTCTTGCACTCCTGGGCGGAGGCGACTAAAGTTGGCTATGAGCCATACACGGGAAGACTTATAGCTAACTTTATTCAATCTCATAATGCGCAAGTAAAAAAATTTGTTCAAAAATTTACCATAGAGGATGGTGAAAGTTGTGTGCCTCATTGTTTTGGGATCCCGGATAAAATTTCCCTTGGACACAAAGGCTTGCTCACCTAGAGGCTAAAAAATATGCCAGGAAAGGTGAAAAGACTTGTTCCAGTACCGGCAGACGGCAAGTTATATGGAGTCAAAATCTGTGAACCGACGGAATGGCCTGTGGAAGGCTTCTCGAAAGAATTGTTAGAAGAATTTATGACAAAGCGGGAGATGTCGGTTCATTAATGGTACTATAAGCTAATCTTTATCCAGGTATAGATGCACTTGAAAGAGCCTTTTCAGTTTGTCCTCTGGAGTTTGAGAGGTTCTTAAGTGTGTAAGAATATCATGCAATCTACTGGGTGGAATATTCTAGCAGCACAAAAGAAGTCAGGGATCCGAGTGGTATTTTCAGATTACTACAAAATAAATGCGAGATGTGCGATATGAGCAAAAGTATAAACTACAATATAACCAATCGTAGCGCCTTGTAGACATATAAACCTCCTCAAATCTTGGAGCTCATGCCATATTATTAATTCATTTTATTATCCTATCTGAGTCTATGACTATATAGGACATGCAGGTCCTCTCTGCCTACAGGCCAAGAATACCTAAACCAGCAGTATATCCCCTCCTGTGCCTCCCATACAGCTCCCCTCAAACAGTACCGCCCCTCACAAGTCCTCATTCGATCATACACTAAGAGTTCCCCTTTGTCCTTCATTATTTCCCCTCTCCAGGCAACAAAACGATGGCCATTTGCGGGTGTATGGCAGCCGGGAAAAATCGCAAAAACCACTGGGTGCGGGGCTCTTCTAATACCGACATTAGGACTAGATCCGAAGACATCGTGATCCTTCTGAAGCGTTCAAAGAGGCCAACCAGCTGGGCGCTGCAGACTTGTGGGTACCTCGGGAAATTCACCCTCTGTCTTTCTAGCCTCCTTCCAACTCCTTCCCGAAGGTCGTGCTGGAATGTCAGAAAAGTCTTGACAGAGCGTGATTTCTGTATTGTAGCTTAGCTACACTTCTTTTGTAACGTCCAGGGCGCTGGGGAATGCCGTTGACTTATTGACAATTGAAGTCTTCCTGGCTAATTAGCCGAAATCTCGATCTTGGCGCCTACAAACGTTCCAAAGTTGAAAACCCCTTGATAATGTCAGTCCAGGCATGGGATTCGGAGACCTCTTCCCCCTCACGCTCCACATCTCAGCCGCCTGTCCTTCCTCAAGTTGTTTGTCCCATTAGAGCAACAGCCCCCCATAAGCCAAGACCCAGGCTTTGTATTTTTCGACTTGATTTCCTCTTTGCGGGTATACGTAGGGTCATAAATTTGTAGTGAGAGATGGCTGGAAATCAATGAGGCAAGCTCCTGTTTGCAATTGGGCTGATGCCTTTATCGGTCGTCGAGGCGAGATGATATGTGGTTAGAAAGAGGTTGAGGACTCAGAATATAATGGTGAGTGCTGCATGATTGAGAAGTCGTCAAATGGAGATATGCATGTGTTTGCCTTCGACTTCGATTCGAATACGATTCTTCTTGGCTATCCCAAATATACAGCGCATACTGAGCGATAATACCGGCACCACTAGAAGATGAAGAATTCGTCTTTGCTGGCGCTGGATGTAGGAGTTAGTGGGGCATGACCCTCAGTCTCCATTGGTAAATATCAAACAAACCAATTTTCAAGTTTACTATTAAGTTATGAGGTTATTTAGATATCTTTGGCAGTCCCTCATAGTCATACATTCAGTAGGGACTCAAATTTAATTTTATTCTACTAGATGGAGGATACTCAGATATTTCGTGATTCGACTCTGGGAAAATGAGGCGAGACTCCAACTACACAGAAGTGTTTACTAATAGCATTTTCTACCTCCTACATCCTCATCTTCCCGGGACATTCAACTCTATAGTTAGTAGTTCTGAAATAGCCGTCACATTGTGCCTTTCGTGGAGCTAGGCTAGCTTCTTGGAGAGCTCAAGTCATTTCACAACTCACAGATCGAGCCAAACATTGTCGCGAACTTTAGGTTGATGTGGTTGTCTCCGACAAAATTTGTATCCTCCCCGTTTTGCTGGTGAGTTGAAGCTATTGCTGCCTATAAAAATTCTAGTGTATCCCTTAGTCTTTTTACGTAGTCATGGGCGGTTAGCCGTCTTGGGTGTCGACAACTATTCTCTGAGGTTTGGGCTCTGTCCGAGGTTCTATGTAGTAATTGTACCGTTGAAAGAACGAGCTGATTCCTGTCGAAATACTTCAAGTGGACGGGTTTTGTGATAAGCTTGTTGTAACAGTATTGATATCAATCAATTCTGTTCTCCCTCAATCCCTCCAAAGGAACAACTTACCTCTCTATCATAGGAGTATTGAAGTGTGGTGGTGTACATGGTCGAATACACTTGGTATCTTCAATTGAATGTTTGTGACTACTCAGGGGACTTAGAATATAGTTGGGTGATTATGGCAATAAATGTTATGGAATGCAAATGATATCTTATTGGGCTATTAAGTTACAGATTATCTACATGAAAATTAACCAGTCCCACAAGCCATGGTGGGACGAGAAGGACGAAGGCTGAACACCTATCAGTGGTGTCCTCTACAAACCTGGGAGTGAAATATTCTCACATAGCCGAGATTCAGTCACGACAAAAGGTGAATTCGAGACTTTTCGTCGAGTTGGCGATCTGGAGGAGTGGTGCTGGCTCATTTTTGGTCGAAAATCCGACTTGCAGAGATTTCACGACTGCACAACTCAACGAAATCAACCATCTACACCCCAGATACAAACCGCGGACAGCCTATAACCTCCCTGATATTCGTATTACAACAACCGACACCTTCAAGGTCTTATTTTCTATTTCTCTGAAAAATCATGCTCAGCCAAACTCATCTCGCGGCCCTCTCCACAATTAGCTCACCACCTACCAAAGCCAAATCGCCAACAAAGAAGCAAGAGGAAGTCCGAGCCTCCGCAACTGCCAGTCGCTGTGAAGGTACGGTCGAAATACCAGCCTTAAATGCGTCCTCAACAAAAGAAGTTTAGCTAAGCTACAATACAGAAATCACGCTCTGTCAAGACTCTTCTGAAATTTCAGCACGACCTTCGGGAAGGAGTTGGAAGGAGGCTAGAAAGACAGAGGGTGAATTTCCCGAGGTACCCACAAGTCTGCAGCGCCCAGCTGGCTGGCCTCTTTGAACGCTTCAGAAGGATCACGATGTCTTCGGATCTAGTCCTAATGTCGGTATTAGAAGAGCCCCGCGCTCAGTGGTTTTTGCGATTTTTCCCGGCTGCCATACACCCGCAAATGGCCATCGTTTTGTTGTCTGGAGAGGGGAAATAATGAAGGGCAAAGGGCTCCTCTTAGTGTATGATCAAATGAGGACTTGTGAGGGGCGGTACTGTTTGAGGAGAGCTGTATATGAGGCACAGGTGGGGATATACTACTGGTATAGGTATCCTTGGCCTGTAGGCAGAGAGGACCTGCATGTCCTGTATAGTCATAGACTCAGACAGGACAATAAAATGAATGAAAAAAAAATGCGTCATCACCTCAGCCAAGGGCACCAACAACTCGACCTGCGACGAATCGCCACCGACGAAATACTTACGAAATTTCGCCGGCACATTAACTAGGGCGCTTATTGAACTGCACAGAGATACTTTAAAAATGTTTGAAGTGGATTGGATTCTCTGTCCCCTTCAGATCTCCTCTCACTAGCTTATATATATGCAAACCATTTATCATCTATCATATCATTTCTACTCGGCCTTTCAGCCTTAATTGAGTCGAGCTAATTGAGTAAGAAACAATTTCGGATGTCAATCACCTGAAAATTATAACCTCAAGAATCTCTAGCATGAAGCGCGCGCGTATAAATAAAATGAACGAACATGATGTGGATCCTGAAAAGATCTACAATGTCACGGGTTGGTCAGATTTTAGATGTACGGCACATAGACAAAATGCTAGTGCCTTATGATCTCACAAGAGCAGATCTCACTGGAGCTGAGGGGTAACAGAGTATTGATGTAAATAGGCGCATAGATATCCTACATTTAAAGATAGATAGAATTCACGTATTAGTCTCAAGCTCTACACAAGATCCATTGTAGTTAGGAGCCACGAGACACCACGTGATAACATTTTATTCTTACGCACACACACACCATTTACTAGGTACACAACGCGCACCCAGAAACCTCAATGATTTGGTAAGCCTAATCGAAGCGCGCTCGTAAAGGAAAAGGGAATGGCATATGCTGAAAATTTGCAAATTAACTCTCAGTCAGTACAAGTAAATTTAGCTCGCGCAAATCATTGATAATCCAAGCGCGCGCAAGATACTGGTGATTCGACAGCGCTCGACAAAGGCTAGGGTACCAGTGCCTCGGTCTTGAGCTCTCAGTTGCGTTTTTAATCGACTTTTAACTTGATCGTCGACTTTGCATATTGGTCTGTTATCACAAAAACGGAAATAGATTCATGAGATTGCTTTATGAGAGGCAAGGATTGATTCCGATATAATTTGGTTGAAGACTTGTCCTACAATTTAGAGGCTACAATGTCTTTATATATCTACGTACTTACCCCCATATTCACCATATCCACTAGCCACTCTATATCTAGCGTGCATAGCCTGATTTATCTCATGGTTCTGGGTTGGAGCTGTAGTTTCCGAATAGCAGTATTTCTTAAGCTACTACAATACGTAGCAGCTTCAGATATAGTTTACCGGGCGATACTTCCACCTGAGCTACATGCCTCCTTGATATGCTGCCGGCTCGGTAATCAGTGAGATAACCAAAGCTAAACCTTAACAATAACCTTAATTACGAACCCATGAATACCTAAGACAGAAGCCTGCAATCTAGCACAATTAGGTTAGGAATTGCCAACTACAACCTAATCCAAACAGTTTTTGACCTCCACGGTTCGGGGTACAGCAGCGACGGGGCAAGGCCGGAGGGGTGGACATTCTACAAAATTTCTAGGGTGACGAGATCGGCTGAAGGACAGAGGGATGCTGCATGAAGGAACTAAAAGAGAATACAAACTCAGGAGGCCTTGGT